AAACAATCTTTGGACAACACCCACCAGTGGGACTCGAACCCAGAAAGCACAACTACCTTCCAGTAGCTGGCATAACTAGTATGCTTTAACCCACTACGCCATCAGACCTTACAAAGATTGTTTATCTTCACTTGTGGTTTATGCAAGTATAGGCTTATAAGCTGGACACGAGTTCTCTCACATTGACAGTGGCTTGACGAAAAATGCAGACTGACCCCTCACTCATCTGGTGCCTTCGGGAGGTAGAGATGTTTGAGATATATATCTCGAACTATCTACTTCTTTTGTAAGGTCTGATGGCGTAGTGGGTTAAAGCATACTAGTTATGCCAGCTACTGGAAGGTAGTTGTGCTTTCTGGGTTCGAGTCCCACTGGTGGGTGTTGTCCAAAGATTGTTTATCTTCACTTGTGGTTTATGCAAGTATAGGCTTATAAGCTGGACACGAGTTCTCTCACATTGACAGTGGCTTGACGAAAAATGCAGACTGACCCCTCACTCATCTGGTGCCTTCGGGAGGTAGAGATGTTTGAGATATATATCTCGAACTATCTACTTCTTTTGTAAGGTCTGATGGCGTAGTGGGTTAAAGCATACTAGTTATGCCAGCTACTGGAAGGTAGTTGTGCTTTCTGGGTTCGAGTCCCACTGGTGGGTGTTGTCCAAAGATTGTTTATCTTCACTTGTGGTTTATGCAAGTATAGGCTTATATATATATATATGTATGTATATATATATATATATATATATGTGTATATATATATATATATATATATATATATATATATATATATATATATATATATATATATATATATATACAGGCATACCTCAGAATATGAGTTTAATCCGTTCCTGGAGATGCCTCGCCTTCCGAAGTTAATTTCCCCATAAGAAATAAAGGGAAATGAATTAATCCGTTCCTGACTACCCCAAAAACCCCACATCAAACTAAATTTTTATACCTAATTTACCTAATTCATCTAAATAAACCTACAAAACTGTGTTCCAGTTATTACTTACCTTGCTGTCGAGTGCTGTAGGCGTATGGAAGATGGTGAGGAGGGGGGAGGAGGAGAGGAGTTACTGTTTGGAAGGGGAGTCCCCTTCCATAATCACATCACATAACCCCATGCCTTGTAACACTATGGATACCACTTCTCTTTCTAAATTTTTCAAACCAGCCCCTGCTTGCCTTAAACTCTTTCTTATCTGCATCACTCGTTGCAGGGGTATTCTTTAAAAGGTCTTCGTGCAACACCCTGGCTTTCTCACAAATAATGGCCTCCGAAACACTATCACCCCTCAACTCCTTGTCGTGTATCCAAATTAATAACAACTTTTCCACTTCTTCAAGTATTTATGGTCTTTGTGCCGTTAATGTTCTTACTCCTTTTGCCACTTTAGCACCCATAATCTTATTTTTCTTCTTAAGTATAGTGCATATTGTTGATGTGGCTTTGTTGTACTCCCTACAAAGTTCAACAACACGTGTACCGTTCTCATGCTTCCGAATGATCTCTTGTTTCTCCTCTATTGTCATCCTCACATGAGCTTTCTGGCCTTTACCCTTACCACTGGCTTTCTTGGGACCCATGGTGAGATATATAATAACAAATTGTATAGACAAATCACCAAAAATCCAACAAAACACTGAAAATCCGCGAGAAGAATTGATGTGGGGGTAGTCACTGAGCGCGAGACAATAATAAACTGAGGGGCGGCGGGGCGGAGGGGCGACGATCGCCGAACCACCGCGCGCTAGGTCGGCTGTACGCGTATCAACAAACTCGCGTCCAAACTCGCCTCCCGAAGTAACCATCGCCTTCCGAGACAAATTTTTGGAGTAAATACACCTCGCCTTCCAAAAACCTCGCATACAGGGACAATCGCATTCCGAGGTACCACTGTATATATATATGTCGTACCTAGTAGCCAGAACTCACTTCTCAGCCTACTATGCAAGGCCCGATTTGCCTAATAAGCTAAGTTTTCATGAATTAATTGTTTTTCGACTATCTAACCTACCTAACCTAACCTAACCTAACTTTTTCGGCTACCTAACCCAACCTAACCTATAAAGATAGGTTAGGTTAGGTTAGGTAGGGTTGGTTAGGTTCGGTCATATATCTACGTTAATTTTAACTCCAATAAAAAAAAATTAACCTCATATATAATGAAATGGGTAGCTTTATCATTTCATAAGAAAAAAATTAGAGAAAATATATTAATTCAGGAAAACTTGGCTTATTAGGCAAATCGGGCCTTGAATAGTAGGCCGAGAAGTGCGTTCTGGCTACTAGGTACGACATTATATATATATATATATATATATATATATATATATATATATATATATATATATATATATATATATATATATATAATGTCGTACCTAGTAGCCAGAACGCACTTCTCAGCCTACTATGCAAGGCCCGATTTGCCTAATAAGCCAAGTTTTCATGAATTAGTTGTTTTCGACTACCTAACCTACTTAACCTAACCTAACTTTTTTGGTTACCTAACCTAACCTAACCTATAAAGATAGGTTAGGTTAGGTAGGGTTGGTTAGGTTCGGTCATATATCTACGTTAATTTTAACTCCAATAAAAAAAAATTAACCTCATACATAATGAAATGGGTAGCTTTATCATTCCATAAGAAAAAAATTAAATATATTAATTCATGAAAACTTGGCTTATTAGGCAAATCGGGCCTTGCATAGTAGGCTGAGAAGTACGTTCTGGCTACTAGGTACGACATATATATATATATATATATATATATATATATATATATATATATATATATATATATATATATATATATATATACATACATACATACATACATACTGTGACGTGAAAATAAATGGTTTTTAGTGCAGTCGCTATTAGGGCAGATAGAATGCCTGTCACATTAAACAAAAAAAAGTAAAAATAAAGTAGACTGTTTGCTGACGTCTCCACAGTGAAATAACTGCAGGATAAAACATAGAGAACAAAAATTTAAATACTTTACTATGGAAAAAATTACTTTAACAAATACAACAAATAAAAATAGCTCCTTCTAGACTTGGCAATATTATAATGTGCAAAATGAACAAAATCATCAAACAGACCAGTTAACGTTACGTTAAAGTACAAACAATAAAATAGTGCGGGAATACTGTAGACCATAGCAGGATTGTTGTAATAATTAGTGCTGTTGGACGAGTGATGCTGAGAGACGGAGGGAGACAGCATCGTTTACTGACTGTGTGGACCACCTGTTATTGTCTGCATTCACCATACCAGCTCAGTGGTTCTCTATGGTGAACACAAATGTAGATACTTTTATATAATGTGTGTATTAGTGTAATAACAGCAAAAGGATTATGCTGGGAGGAGCCATTTGGGTGACGGAGGTGACATCGTCTGCATGATTTGTCTGGCTGTGCAGAGGGTGGCCACTATGCTCTTTGGGCACTCTACAAGCTTAGGTGTACAGTTACAGTGCATACAACATGTAGATACTTATAGATAATATGTATATATAGTGTAATAACACTGCAAACAGTATTGTTGGGGGAGAAAGTTTAGTGTGTGTGACCTTGAATGAGTGAGGGAGCCGCCAGCTGACTGTGTGTATAGCGACAATTCTTAGTGCCTGAACTAACTACATCAGCTTAGCTGTACAGTTGTGATGAACAAAACATATACATACTTATATATAACGTCTGTATATAGTGTCATAACACCACAAACGGTATTGTTGAGAGAGAAAATTTAGTGCGTGTGGCCTTGAGTGAGGCAGCCGCTAGCTGACTGTGTGTATAGCGACGGCTCTTAGTGCCTAAACTAACTATATCTGCTTAGTTGTACACTTGTGGTGAACAAAACATGTAGTTTCTTATATATAACGTCTGTATATTGTGAATAAAATATAAAACAGGATGGTGGGAGGAAAAAGTGGGCGAGTGAGGCGTTGTTGAGGGAGTGGCAATGAGTGGTTGCTGGTGTGTGGTGGTAACTCCTCGTTGCTTTTCGACTCTCAATACCAACTTAGTGGTTCATTATGGTGAACAAAACATGCAGATACTTATATATAACCTGTGTATAGAGTGTAATAGCAGCAAAACTATTTGTTTATTGTTTTATAAACATAATAATTGAATCACTAATTATTACTAATTTTGCCAGACACTATACTTTTGAGTATAGCGATTATTCACCACTTTTATTATATACATATATTACAATACACACTATTGAATAATATTACTGCAAAAAAAACTAAGAAAAAATCAGAGACAGAAATAATTAAGTTATATCTTTGTGGCAACTCCTATCTGTCAGCGCGGGTGACTCTGACCGGCTCAGACGACCGCTGTCAACGCCCACTTTTTGCTAGACTTACTCGGTCAATTGCGCCCATGGAATGTGGACCATGATTTTTTTTAAAGATGGCATCTGTTTACAAGAGCCCTGAGGAAGCTGATGTGAACCCCCATGTAGCTGCAGGAGTTTTGAATGGAACGTGAAAAATACAAATACCCGGAGGCATGTTGCGCAAACCAGACAAGGGCCTGCAGGTGCGTTGCGCAGTTTAAGGGTTAAGGGGTCACTGAGGCTCTACCAGAATGAGGTGTTTCATTATATTCAGCATTGTTTTTTCCCTAATTTTGTTATAAAAAAATTGTAATGGTAGATTTGGAAATACAGTATCATTGTTTTTCCTTACTAGATGTGCAACTAAAGCTAGGAAATTTTTATATATTTTATATTTTGAGCTTGAAAATTAGTCATAGGGGTTAATTTTTTCATGAAAGAAAACCTGCTTTGATGTATACAATTATTTATCCAACCAAATGTTAATTATTGCCTCATTTTTCCACTATCATGAGAAGGGAAGGCTATCTTCTATCCCAAAGAAGATAAAAAAATAATATAAGGAAAGCGTTACATTTGTTTAAGATACTCAGAGATTCTTACCCATTCACAATTCTTTATGTACTTAACAGCATCACAGAGATCCAGTGCTGCCACACTCCAGAAAATCAACATCAGTTCTTCGTGGGCTAGAAGTAAAGTGCTCTATACTAATTGTCATGGACTGTTAAGCTGCATAAATATCAGCCTTGCCACAACTTCTTTTACAGTCCTCAAACTAAAGCTGCAATTGGGTGCAACTTAGTAAAGCTACCAGTGCTCTGATATTTTCAATATTTTTGCAAAAGTAAGCTGTAGGAAAATAGATTTGAGTTCATGTAAAAATAATTGTTTTTTTGTATTATCAGTGTTCAAAACATTTACAAGTTTTGTCTGAGTAGAGAACATTTTACACATAAATATAAAAGGTATAACAAATACTGTAAATAACGTAGTAAGATTTTAATTCTTGTAGGAAACGGTCATATCTTTATTACGAGAGTCTGAATGCTTTTTTTTAATATAATAGTAAATATTTAAAACACCCATAGAGTATAGAAACCATATCAGTATTCAGTGTATCTTAAGAGGTTCTTTTCTAAAGTTATATCTAGTTCAGCATGAGATTTCATACAGGTGAGAAATCATTTCAGTGTTCAATGTGTCTGAAAAAATTTAAAAACAGATCAAATTTAGGAAAACATATGAGAGTTCATACAGGTGAGAAACCATATCAGTGTTCAGTATGTCAAAAAGACTTTGCTCAACAGTCACATCTTGCACAGCATACAAGAACGCATACAAAAGAGAAACCTTATGAATGTTCAGTGTGTCTTAAAGACTTCCAACGTAAATCGGTTATGTTACGGCATATGCAAATTCATACAGGAAAGGAACCATATCAGTGCTCACTGTGTCTGAAAGACTTTTCTGACAGATCAAATTTAGTGCAACATATGAGAATTCATACAGGAGAGAAGCCATATCAGTGTACAGTGTGCATAAAAGATTTTTCTGAAAGGCGAAGTTTAATAAACCATATGAGAGTTCATAAAGGAGAGAATCCATATCAGTGTGCAGTGTGTCTGAAGGATCTTTCAGATCAAACAAGTCTCATAAAACATATGCAAATTCATACTGGGGAGAAACCATTTCAGTGCTCAGTGTGTCTAAAGGGCTTTTCACAAAAGCCACACCTAATACAGCATATGAGAGTTCATACAGGAGAGAAACCATTTCAGTGTTTGGAGTGTCTAAAAAACTTTTCAGATAAATCCAGTCTTGTTCACCATACTAGAATTCACACAGGAGAGAAACCTTTTCAGTGTTCAGTGTGTATAAAAAGCTTTTCTCAAAAGTCACATCTTATAAAACATATGAGAGTTCATACAGGAGAGAAACCATTTCAGTGCCTAATGTGTCAACAAAATTTTTCAGTTAAATCAACTTTAGTAAAACACATGAGAATTCATACAGGAGAGAAACCATATCAGTGCTCAGAGTGTCTAAAAGCCTTTTCTCGAAAGGCAAATCTAATTGAACATATGAGACTTCATACAGGAGAGAAACCCTATCAGTGTTCAGTGTGTCCTAAAGGCTTTTCAAGGAAACCAGGTCTAGTAAAGCATATGAGAGTTCACACAGGAGAGAAACCTTATCAGTGTTTAATATGTCTAAAAGAATTTTCAGATAAATCAACTCTAGTAAAACACAATAGAGTTCATACAGGTGAGAAACCATATCACTGTCCAGTGTGTTTAAAAGACTTCCCATTCAAATCAGCTCTGGTAAAACATAGGAGAGTTCATACAGGTGAGAAGCCATGCCAGTGCTTAGTGTGTCTAAAATTCTTTGCACATAAGACTAGTTTAGACCAACATATGAAATTACATACAGAAGAAAAATCATTATCAGTATTCAGAATGTTTAAAAAGAATTCATACATAGGAGAAACCATTTTCAATGTTCAAAATGTTTGAGACTTTAGATATGTAAAGTGCAAAATAGTAATGGGCATTATATGCAATAGTGTCAAGAACATAGGCTGTTGAATAATACAAAAAGATGGATATTGCGTATGCATCTTCCACCCTTCAGTAAAAATTTGTATTTGCCAAAAGGAAGTTTGTAGTTCTGCTTATGGCCTTAGTACTTGTAGTGATAGCACAGATGCCTGAGTCAGATGTAACTTGTGGGAAAGTTACTTGAATCGATAATTGCAAATACAATTCGTTTTCATCTTGAAAAACATAAATTAATAAATGAGTTGCAACATGGTTTTACAAATGGCCATTCATGTTTAACAAATTTGCTATCTTTTTATTCCAGCATAGTTGAGGCAGTTGATAGTGGTAAGGATTGTGATGTTGTGTACCTTGACTTTAGCATAGCTTTTGATACAGTGCCACATGAAAGACTGATTAAAAAAATAGAGGCTCATGGTATTGGGGGTGCTATATTAAGTTGGATTAGGGCATGGCTATTCCAAAGGGAACAGAGAGTAAGTATAAATGGGGTTAAGTCAGAGTGGGATAATGTTGTTAGTGGAGTGCCTGTCTTGGGACCCCTGTTGTTTATAATATATATAAATGATTTAGATTCAGGTTTGAGTGGCAACATTTGCAAATTTGCCGATGATACAAAAATCAGTAGGGAAATTAACACGGAAGAAGACTCACTATCACTTCAAGTTGATCTAAATAGGGTTTTGAAATGGTCAAAAGATTGGCAGATGCAATTTAATGCATAAATGTATAGTTCTGAGGCTAGGTAATGAGGATAGAGTTACAAGATACGAGCTAGATGGTGTTGAGATTGCGAAAGGGATCTGGGAGTTATGATTAGTAAGAATTTAAAACAAAAAAATCAATGCATAAATGTTCGTAATAAGGCAAATAGGACATTGGGATTTATTAATCAAAGCTTTAGTAACAAGACACCTGGTGGTGTTCTTCAGCTATATCTTGCTCTGGTTAGGCCCCATTTAGATTATGCAGTTCAGTTTTGGTCGCCGTACTATAGAATGAATATAAATTCACTTGAACGTGTCCAGCGTAGGATGACTAAGTTAATTCCCCAAATTAGAAATTTGGGGAATTAGAATCTTGGGGAATTCTTTCCTCATAAGAATCTTTCTTATGAGGAAAGAGTAACAAAGCTTAAATTGCATTTTTTTTTTTTTTTTTTTTGAGATATATACAAGAGTTGTTACATTCTTGTACAGCCACTAGTACGCGTAGCATTTTGGGCAGGTCCCTGGAATACGATCCCCGCCGCAAAGAATCGTTTTTACAACCAAGTACCCATTTTGCTGTTGAGTTAAACAGAGGCTACAGTTAAGGATTTGTGCCCAGTAAATCCTCCTCGGCCAGGATACGAACCCATGACAAAGCGCTCGCGGAACGCCAGGCGAGTGTCTTACCACTACACCACGGAGACTACTGGATTCACTGGAAAGGCGAAGAGTTAGGGGTGACATGATAGAGTGGATGAATGGACATAACAAAGAGGATATTAATAGGGTATTAAAAGTATCAACACAAGACAGAACACAAAACAATGGGTATAAATTGGATAAGTTTAGATTTAGGAAAGACTTGGGTAAATACTGGTTCGGTAATAGGGTTGTTGATTTGTGTAATCAATTACCGCGTAAGGTGGTGGAGGTGGGGTCCCTCGATTGTTTCAAGCGTGGGTTGAACATGTATATGAGTGAGATTGGGTAGTTATAGATAGGAGCTGCCTCGTATGGGCCAATAGGCCTTCTGCAGTTGCCTATGTTCTTATGTTATGTTCTTATGTTCTAATACCATGGCAGTTCTTAAAGATCCTGAGGCCAAATAAGAATATTGACTGTTGATTTTCTCATGGACATTTCTTGCATTTATTGGGCACCATCCTTAAACTTACCTTATGTTTCTTGGAGCTTCTTTATTTATCATTTCCACACAGCTTTATGAATACTATTAAGCCTAACTGGGTACTTTTATTATGGCTAATTATTCAATAGCTAATAGTACATGGTACATGGAAGATCCTGGAAAGCCAGGTTCCAGAGTTGCTCAGTAGAATAGGAACAGACTGGAGCAAAAGATACAGAAGGAAATGTAGAATAAAACCAGTGAGGAGTAGAGGTGCCATAGGGACAATCAGAAAACACTGAACATTAGGGGGTCCACAGCTACTGAATACCCTTCTAGCAAGCACTAGAAATATTGCCAGAACATAGGTCTTCAAGATACACTTAGATGAGTTCTTGCAGGAAGTACTGGACAAATCGAGTCGTAGTGAATATGTTGGCATGTGAGCAAACTCCAAGCAATGGCCTGTTGGACCAAATTATTACAAGTCAAAGAGAGAATAGAAAAGAAGTAGAAGAACTCCTAAAACCCTCTCCAGGTATACTCCAGGTTACAGAAGAGAGAAATCTTACGATTCACATTTGATAACAGAGTATCATAAAAAATTTGTCATTCACAGTGCCAAAACATATTAGCATGAAAAATTATCCTATAAGCTTATGTCACATACCATATGGTAAGCTGACAGAACAACTCTGCTCCTACTCCACTCCACAATACATTAATTCTCTCAAAATTAGTGTATGGATCCCAAGTTTGCTAAGCTGCAGCCAAACAAATTTAAACAGGCTAGATTCAATCCACAATATGAGCCACAGATTTAGCATTGTTGCATTTAGACAACTGATGGCTATAAAGACAGAGTCCTAGAGCTTACAGCTAGATCCTATAGGTACAAATACTAAATACAAATTGTAGATATAGGATCCCTCCCAGAAAACCAGCACTGAATGTACTGAAGCACTTCTTTCTAGTAGGTCCCCGGTGGCTCTTTGGGACTTTTCTTTCTCCAAGACAGGTGATTTGGTTTTCTATTTTCCTGGCTATATAGCTGAGGTGGTAAGGTTGATGGTTCAGCCTGGAGGGTGCACATCCCCTGGTGGTGCACAAATAAAGTGGATGTTAGAACTGCTTACCACCAAGTAATTCATACCTGCTTGATGGGGTTCTAGGAGTTCTTCTACTCCCCAAGCCCAGCCCCGAGGCCAGGCTTGACCTGTGAGAGCTTGGTCCAACAGGCTGTTGCTTGGAGTGGCCCGCAGGCTCACATATCCACCACAGCCCGGTTTGTCCAGTACTTCTTGAAGAAAACTATCTAGTTTTCTTTTGAAGATGTCCATGGTTGTTCTGGCAATATTTCTTATACTTGCTGGGAGTATGTTGAACAACCGTGGACCTCTGATGTTTATACAGTATTCTCTGATTGTGCCTATGCACCCCTTTTTCCTCACTGGTTTTATTCTTCATTTCTTCTATATCATTCACTCCAGTATGTTGTTATTTTACTGTGTAGATTTGGGACCAGTCCCTCCAGTATTTTTCCATGTGAATATTATTTGCTATCTCTCTCATCTCCTTTCTAGAGAGTACTTTTGGAGAGCTTTGAGACGATTCCGATAATTTAGGTGCTTTATCATGTCTATGTATGCCGTATATGTTCTCTGTATTCCCTCTATTTCAGCAATCTCTCCTGCTCTGAAGGGGAAGTGAGTACTAAGCAATACTCAAGATGGGACAACATTAGTGATGTGAATAGTACAAGCATTGTGATGGGATCCCTGGATTTGAAAGTTCTTGTAATCCAACCTAGCATTTTTCTGGCTGATGCAATATTTGCTTGGTTATGCTCCCTAATGTTAGGTTGTCAGATATTATTATTCTCAGATCCTTTACTTGCTGCTTTCCTACTATGGGTAGATTTGATTGTGTTTTGTACCCTGTATTATGTTTAAGGTCCTCATTTTTATCATACCAGAGTACCTGGAATTTATCACTGTTAAACATCATGTTATATTCTGCTACCCAGTCAAAAACTTTATTAATATCTGCTTGTAGTTTTTCAATGTCTTTAGTAGAGGTAGTTTTCATGCTAATTTTTGTTTCATCTGCAAAGGATGATTTGAAGCTGTGACTTGTATTTTTGTCTATATCTGACATGAAAATAGGGAAAAGCAGTGGTGGAAGGACTGTGCCCTGAGGTACAGAGCTTTTAACTGCGCTTGGACTTGATTTTTATTTGATTGGCTGTTACTCTTTATGTTCTGTTCGACATAAAATTGAGTATCCACCGTCCTACTTTACCAGTTATTCCCATTGACTTCATTTTGCGTGCTATCACTCCATAGTCATATTTATTGAAGGCCTTTGCGAGTCCATGAGTTCATGAGTCTCAGGGTTCCACTGTCCTGTTTTCTCTGGTTTGTTTACCTTACTGTCATCAGTTCTGACTTTCCTTCCTCTCTATCTTCTAGTTTTTGCACATTTAATGCCTCTAACATCTCCTCGTAGCGCTTGTCCTTCAGTTCTGGGAGCCACTTAGTGGCATGTCATTGCACCTTTTCCAGTTTGTTGATGTGCTTCTTAAGATATGGACACCATACAACCACTGCATATTCCAACTTTGATCTAACAAAAGTCATGAACAATTTCTTTAGTATTTCTCCATCCATGTTTATTTATTTATTTATTTATGCATATACAAGAAGGTACATTGGGATTGTGAGGATACATAATATGGTAATTACAATCTTGTAAAGCCACTAGTACGAGCAGCATTTCGGGCAGAATGTATTTAGAAGCAATTCTGAAATTAAAATGTGTAGCATTGGCTCCTCACACAATGTTTTTAATGTGGTCCTCAGGTGACAGTTTTTTTTTATATAGAACTACCCCCCCACGCCTAGATCTCTTTCTTTTTCAGAATTCTTTAAAGATTTCTCACATAATTTATAGGTTGTGTGGGGTCTATGTTCTCATATTCCACATTCCATAACATGGCATTTATTCACATTAGATAACATTTGCCCAGTGGTGCTTCATATACTTATTTTATCCAGGTCTTCTTGGAGGGCATGGTATTCATCTAAGTTTCTTATCTTTCCTATTATCTTAATATCATCAGCAAACATGTTCATATAATTCTGTATTCCATCTGGTAGATCGTTTATGTAGACAATGAACATTACCGGTGCAAGAACTGAACCTCTGTGGTACAGTAGTCCACTTGTGACATTCCTCCAGTCCACTACAATGCCTCTGATTACTGCCTTCATGTTTCTATCAGAAAATTTTTCATCCATGTTAGAAGCTTACCTGTCACCCCTCATATATGTTTCAGTTTCCAGAACAACCTCTTATGTGGAACTCTGTTGAAAGGCTTTTTTAGGTCCAGATAGATGCAGTCAACCTAACCATCTCTTTCCTGTAAAATCTCTGTGGCTCGATCATAGAAACTG